CTATCTCCCTCCAGATGCATTGGGACACCACGGGACTCATACGTGAGAGGCGGAGGACTATGCTCCTCATGAAGACTCAACACATCAAGTCTGAACTGCTCTGAAGATGTTCTCCAGCATCACATAAGGCAATGCATCACTCACAAGGCTGGACTGGCACGTAAATTCCGCAGCATGCATCCCTCGATTCATCTCCCCGTGGTTTTTACACGCGGTAAGAAACGTTGCCCATGCAACTCCATCAGCTGGCAAAGGCATATTCTCCAGGACATGCTCGGCCTCTTCCAATCGCCCTAGCCGTCCTAGAGCATCAACAATGCAGGTGTAGTGGTCTTGCGAAGGGTCCAATCCATTGTCAAAGCTCATTGCCGTGAAGTAGCTTACTGCTTCCTTGACGAGCCCCGGATGGCTACACGCCGTCAAAACGAGGGCAAACGCTGCCTTGTCGGGATCAAAGCCGTGAAGAAACATCGCCCAAAATAGCTGGATCGCAGAATACGCATGGCCGGTCTGGGCATATGCTGCTAGCATCGTGTTCCAGGAGACCAAATTCCAAGTTGGTATTCTATCAAACGTCTTCTTTGCCTCACAAATATTTGCATCTAAAGCGTATGCCACGAGAATTGTGTTCCATAAATAGGAATCCCAGCAGCAACACAAAGAACCCTCGTATAGCGTCTTTGAAACGACCTCTCTGGGCATAAACAGCGATTATCGAGTTCCATGAAACAAGATCTCTGTGTGGCATTGCTTCAAACAATTGTTTTCCTTGATCAGCGTCGCCTTTTTGTGCGTATGACTTGATCATAATCGTCCACAAAAGTATGCTGTGCTGAGGCATCCTATCAAACAAACTCTTGGCTTGAATCAAATCCCCATTTTGGGCATAGCAGCAGTGCATCGCCCCCCAGAGGATCGCGTTTCGGTGGACAATCTCCTGGAAGACATCCTCCGCCTCCTCCACGAATCCATTCTCCGCAAACATGACGAGCATCACCGCGCGAGTGATGCTGTTCTTCTCGGGCATGGAATCAAACGCGGCCTTCGCATCGCCCACTCGCCCGTGCTGCGCGAAACCCTGCACGAGGATCGTCCACGCTACCACATTCGTCTCGGGCATCCGATCCAGCACTTCTCTCGCTCGCCCAATCTCTCCGCCGCGAGCAAATCCCCGCAGCAGCATCGCCCACGTCTTGCAGTTCCTCTTGGGCATCGCATCAAACACCGCCTTGCTCGATCCAATCCGCCCGCAATCGCCCAGCGCCTTGACCATCGCA